GTCCCGTTGCCGGTCCCCGGTCCGGTACGGGGGCAACACTGAGGGTTGCGATCCGTTGCTGGACACGGAAAAAGACAAAAAAGACAAAAACAAAAAACCTAAAGAAAGTAGAAGGAAGGAAAGAATATAAATAAGACCAAAAATTAATGATCTAGAGGAAGAAGTTCAGTAGAGAGGATTAAAAGAACCACAAATTGGATTTTTGAAAATAATAATATTGATGAGCCTTTGGCAGGATTAACCACAAAAAAAGAAGTTATAAATAACCAGTGTTGGAGATTAAAAGGAAATCAGCTGGCTGGTAAGCTTAGTTGGTTAGAGCACAGCCTTGAAACACCAAGGTGAAGGGTTGGGTTCCCCATTCCTGACAGTGCCAAAAAAGAAAAAGAAAAGAAAAAGGAAATAAGGGTATTACTCCAAATCCTACAGACATTTTTTTTGGCCTCCAGAAGAACTTTTTTTTTTTTCCTTTTTGTCTTTTTTCGTGACCAGCAACGGATCGCAACCCTCAGTGTCGCGCCCGCACCGGACTGGGACTGGCAACGGGATCGCAACCCCCGGTGTCGCTCCCGCACCGCGCTCAGCCAGTGAGCGGCCGGTCTGTATGTGGGATCCGAACCCTCGGCGGGAGCGCCGCCGCGCTCCCAAGCAGCGCACTGTAGCAGTGCGCCACCAGGCCGGCCGCAGAAGAACTTTTTAATGAACAACTTTATGTGAATAAATTTGAAAATGGACCAGATGGAATGGAACCATTAAAAACAAAAAACAAAGAAACTATATACAACTTACCAAAACTGACATAGAAGAAAAAGGAAATGTTAATAGTTCTATATCTATTTTTTAGGAAATACATAATTTTGCTGGAAGCATTTCAGGAGAAAAAAATTTTTTAAATACATAGTTTAAGTTTTCCCACAGTGAAAACTCTAAGCCCAGGTGGCTTCATTGGTAATATAACCTTTTAGGAAAGAAATCTAGGAAACCAAATCTAAGGAACAGAAAAATAAGAAACACTTCCCAATTCATTTTATGAGCCTAGCATAACCTAACAAGAATTTTATGGGAAAAAAATTTATAAGCCTGTGTCACTCATGAGTGAGGAAGCAAAATCTATCAATAAGATAAAAAGGCTATTGTATATCATGACCCAGTTGGGTTTATTCCAGGAATTGCAAAATTGATTTAGCATCAGAATAGCAGTCAATGTAATTTACATTAATTGCATAAAAGAATAATATAATCATCTTAATTGATGGGAGGAAAGCATTTGATGAATTTTAATATCCATTGTTTTAAAAAGAACCTCTTAGAAAACTAGGAGTAGAAACTTCTTTAAAGCTGGTAAAGGAATACTATATAAAATCAATAGTAAACTACATTCTTAATGGTAAAATGTTAGAAGTTTGAGTTTGGAAGTAAGACAAAGATGCCCACTGTCACTTCTGTTCAGCACTGTGATTGAGGTTCTAGCCAGTATAGTAAGACAAGAAAAATAAATGAAAGATATAAGGATTAGAAAGGAAAAAACAAAGTCATCATTACTCATGACATGATTTTATTCATAAAAATTCAAAAACATCATTGAGTATTACAATTAATAAGTAAATTTAGCAAAGTTGCTAGACACAAGGACATTATCAGTAAGGGCAGATGGTGGGTATGAAAACCATGCAGTTGTATTTCCCATGATAAGCCAGTAGGTGGCCTCCTCTCCTCTGGACCATGAAAGGACAAATCCCCTCCTGAGTGATGCTGGCGAGCAGATGACCTCCTATCAAGATTCATTGACATCCTGAAGGGTCCACTTATTCCTCCTGTGAGCTGATGAGATTGAGAGGGAGAGTTATTGACAAATTCCAAGCTTTCCCTTTTCAATATAAAGTTCTTTGTAATATATATGTATTTTTCCTTCGGTTGCTAATGCATTTTTTTCTCCAGAGTATGAGACCCAACATCCTGTA